AGGAGAACAAGGAAGAGAAGAATGGCTGGGCAGCTTGCAAGTTATCTGAGTTGTGTTTAAGTGTTCTTGAAAACCACTTTATTAACTTTCTCTGAAATGGCACAGCAGCAGGCAGACTTTCACTGTAAGGTTACTTATGTGTGTCACTGGTAGACGTGGACCGATACAGTGTAAATAGTAACTAATTGGAGAATAAAAGCAGATTCACTTTCTGACTTTAACTTACATGACATTTTTTCTGAAATTAGTTTAAGCTCCTGTGCAAACAGACCTACCCATGATTTGGATGAATGTGGTCCATAGACTATTGCTTTTAATCAGTGTTATGGTGGGGGTTTTTTAGGTTACAGCATTTCTCTTCTGACAATTGCTTGCTGGGTGTTAGTCTACTTAATGATCTCTTAATTAGACCAGTATCTGGCTGAATTCACTTCTGCATCAAATAGAAAACTAAGAAAAATACCCAGATAACCCATGTTAAATAGATATCATTAGAAAAGCAATAATAACTCCACAGGGGAAGGAAAACAGGCTGGCAGATATCTTATTAAGGTTATCTGGGTTTTTTGGGGGGTTGGGTGTTTTTTTGTTTGGTGGGTTTTTTGAAAAAATTTTTTTTTGAGGAAGGACAAAGATTTAATTACTTATTTGCAAGGTAAATTTTCTCTTGGATCAATTTTTAATAAGGAAATGTTGGACAAAGCCAGCTGGAGACAGTGAGATGTCCACTTCAGATGTCTGTGGAAGCCAGACTGATTCCTGACTGTCAGTCTACAGGGAGTTTCAGACTTTGATTTTAATACTTTGAGAAAGCTTTGGGTTATTAAAGGAGGATTTTTAGGTTCATCTATTAACTGGCTGTATAACTTGATACTTGTTCACTTAGACCTTTCACAATATGCTTCCTACCACAAAGTAGATTCGAAACTTTGTAAGGTGTTCGGACTTTTAAGATAGGATTGACATTTCAGCAACAGAAATGTGGATTAGACATGAAGAAAAGTCTAACAATAAGGATAGAGACTAGATGGCCTGGGATATTATAGGAACTGCAATAGACTGTGCAGTTTCCAAAAACAGATAGACATCCATCTGTCTAGAGTAACTAGATAACTATACTTGATCCTATCTTGAAGCAAAAGTACAGGCTAGATCATCCTGCCCAAATTTTTCCTCATTTCTGAGAAATATGTAATTAAATATTATGAATATATTTAAAAGACTTCATCATGTATATAATCTAAATTACTTGGGTTTCAAGAGGTACTCTCAACAAAAATCATTATATTGAGGTACCATACTATATTACAGAGACCTTTTTTAATGTCCTATTCCTATGAATGAGATTTTATTAGCACTTGTGGGTTACAACATAAGTTATCCAGAATCCCTTCGAGCATCACTGAACTTCTTAAAACTAGTTTTATTTAGCTTCTAGGTACATTCATGTTAACACACACGTAAATTACAGTTAAAACAAAACAAAAAATCATGCTATCTTATTATATTTGTATATTCCAGATAAGACTACTGCTGCCCTTGCAGAAAGGCTGACACTGTTCTTAAAAGCTTAAGTGAAACAAAGTGTTTAAAAGAAATGGGGGAATAGTTTCAATCTTTTTTTATCCCCAAGCAACAGAAAGAAACTCTTTCAGAATATATTGATGTGATGCTGAACTCTGCTATAAGAGTATTTTTTATTTAAAAAAAACCCAACAAACCTAAACCCTAAAATTTTACAGAGAAATAAATGACTAGAAGATAGAGGAAAATAAAGGGTTTTTTGAGTTAACATTAATTGCTTGACACTTGAAATGCCATAAAATACATACTAAGCATTTTAAATAATATTTAGGGGGCTATCATTACTATCCAGAAACTTATTTAAAGTGTCAATTAAAATCCTATAACTTCTAACAAGAATTCAAAAATTCAGGCTATTTTTATAGTATTTAAACTCCAAAGTAAACTAAAACAAACTATTTCTTAAAATTGGATATAAGGAAGGGTTTTGAGTAGAAACTCTGTCTGGAATATATCAAATGCTATAAAGGAGACTAAGAGCTAAGATACTATAGGGGCAGCTAGAAAGAACTTGGGAGGTATTGTGGGGGACTGTGTGTATTTGTTTTTAAAGCTTAAGAGTTAGTTTCAAAGATAATTACATGTCTCCATGTGTGTTTTATTGCTAGAACAGGCTTCCTTTCGATCCTTCTGTAAAAAGAATGAATGCCTCCATTCAGTGTGCTTTAAGTGTCTTCATGAGTGTTTAAAAAAAAGTTAAACTTCAGTTCTTCACTTTTTGTATATACTTAAACTAGGAAAAGTTTGTGGAAGAATGTCTGCATCGAAGGTCGTTTTTTTTTTATAAGTTTTTTTATAGGAAAACTGAGATTTCTGCCCGTTCTCTTTTTTCTAAGACAATGTTTGTATTTAGTGATGTAGCCATTTATTTTAACATTCCATTTCGTTACTGGTTGCCAAAGATGTCTTTACTTAAAGAGGAAAAAAAGCTCTTGCTATCAAGACCTTTTTTCTAAAGGGATTGGAGACTTGAGTGTTTTGAAAAAACACAAAAGTTCCTAACCAGTTCAACTAGGCAGTGGTCTTGAACCTCCCGTGCCAGTGGTGACTGTGTCTGTTAAAGAAGTCCCACCAAGAAAGCTGGTGGGTCTCAGTTCTCACAGCTGGGGAATACTTTTACAAAAGGAGGAGGTACAAGAGATGGAAGATGCAGAGTTCTTTTCAAGATTTGCATAGTCTTCCCCTAGATAATAAAGCACAGGCTTTTATACCTCACTCAGCTCTTCACTGAAGTCTGTACCTTATAAACTATGTGTATTATTGTTCTCCAGCCCAGAAGCATAGGAGTATAGAAAAATCCATGTTTTTCCATAGTAAGTGTCAATATAAATTATATTGCTTGTGAAATGTGCACCACTGTTTGTAAAACCTGCATCTAACAATCTGTCTCCACAGACGTTGTGAGAACAATGAGGGCTCTAATAGCAATGAAGGGATTAAAATATACTCACCCTTCTAATCTGTGTCTTCCAGTAAGGATGTAAATTAACAATGTTCAAGTCTTCTGAATTTGATAGACTGTAGTAAAGCATTTTGAAAAAGCAGAGTATAGGTGAAAATCTTCCATTAAGGAGAACTGCTGTTTTTTGAAGACTACCTTTAAGTTGGGGGCTATTAGTCCTGTTGGCCTTTCATAGTCAGAACAGAATTTGCTACATGAGAAAGCTGCAGCAAAACCAACAAAAACAATTAGCAGCCATAAATACTAGTCCTGGTAAAAAGGATTGATGACTGGAGGAGAGGCGATAGCTGTTTAGTTCTCAGCTGATTTCAGTGCAGGCTGCAAAATCCAACAAAAACATACAAAATACTTGCTCCTCCTGGCTCTGTTGCAATGGCTAAAGAAGAAGATATTGCTAATAGGTGATCACCATAATTGGCTGTTATTGTGATGTAACTAGATACGTGCTTTGAGAATTTCATAAATTTCTTCCAAATTACTGAAACAACCACATCTAGTTTAAAACTAGGTATATCCTACATTACATTGCACGGTGAGTACAACATAGCTCTATACCTTAAGCACTGTTGAGTACCAGCCCTGTGTCACTACAATGACTGTTGCTCTTATCTTTGCACAGCCAGACAACTATCCACCATTTCAAGAAGCATCAGTCTTGGGAGCAGTGCTTATTTAATTTTTAAACTGAAAATGGTTGTGTGAGCATGGGTCAGTTTCCCCTCTCCACATACACTCCAGTTTGTGTGCCGGGTCCAAATTGAGGCCCGATTCCTTAATTTCATATAAACTAAATAATGCTTATTCCTATGAGTAGTTCCATTACTGTGAGGCAATTATTAACACAAGAAAATACTATATAATGCATGTAAAGAATTCAGCAGAATTCAGCTACGAATAATTCTGTGTACTACAGATGAATAAGCTTTCTGCCTGTTTTAGTTTGTTATATTTGGCTTTTGCTCTCCTCTTTCTTTCCTTATTTTATGTGTAATTACTCTCAGGAAACAGAATATTTATTTAATATTGTTCTTTTTCTGGGCAGAAGAATAGAAGATTTATTTGTCGGGGGAAGAATCGAGAACCTCCTACCAGGCTGACACTATGTAGGCATAAAGAACTGAGTTAAATCTACCACTGAGTGATTAATTGGATTAATAGTCAGAAGGTCAAATGAAGGACTAGGTTCTCAGCTTGTGCAGTTTTGTTCTAGTGCCAATCCACTAAATGGAGACCTAGCCCAATGTGGTAGTGTTTAGATACTAAATAGGCATGTAAAATTTTTCCTAACCTTCCTAACTAGTCACAGGGTGGAACCATTTCTAGTTAAACACTGGGGTCCCAGAACTCAAGTTAACAAAAGCATATCATGGTATTACCGAGCTGGCCACAAAGTGACCACAAACATAGATGACGGCCCCTGAGCTGCCCTAGTGTTTGCTAGAAGAATATTGACAAAAAGGTTGTCTGGCCAGAGGGATTTCTGAGCAGCTGTAGATCCCCTGGGAAACTTTGGTATAGTGCCTGCTTCTGCTGCTAAGCCTTCTTTCCTGCCAAAAGCAATAGGGGTGCAGAGGAGACAGAAAGAGCACAACCTAGGGGCCAGAGGATGCTGGCATGAGACCCTGAGCAGCTCCGTATCAGTGACTGAAGGCAACCAGGCAGCAGTAGGAGACTGCAGTTTGGAGAAGGGGAGGATGCTCCTTGGAGCCGTGGAGACAGGCGGATGATGTGGAAGGAGTTTGATGCAGCTGCTGGTAGTAGGAAGGAAAGATGGGAATTCAGGTAATTCAGCTGTCTCGTCTTAAGCCCCTGAGGATAACTCTTTTCATCCAAGGACCCTATAGGAAATGCCAGCTGCTATCACAGCCAGCACTCTGTTAGCAACGGGAACAGGAACTTCCAGGTCAAAATCATGTTCTTGGGTAGGACGGCAGGCCTTCATCTTTCTGCGCTCCCCCTTCTGCTGAAAAAGCAGATAGCCTACCTATAGACATATATGATGAGCATAATGATTAGCATAAAAACATACCACGTGAGTTTCTGAGCAAACGTTTTCCTTCTGGACACCAAGACTAAATCAGCTCAATATGTACTTTTCCTAACAGCCCAGCTGCAGTGCTGATGCCCTTGGGCTTGTGATCCTCGGCATAGAACACTCAGTCTACGTTCAAATCTATTGCTCTTCGCTCTTTAACACTACTATACAACAGGGGGAAAAACAATCTTTGTCTGTTTCACTGACAATGTTTTGCTATCTTTAGACAATTTTATCTAGCTGATCCTTACCTTACACTTAGAACTAAGCCCATTTAAGGGAATAGCTACTTGGCTTCATCTCCAACAATTTTAAACAAGTCAATAGCTTATAAGCATGCTGCAAAAAGTGCTTTCTCCATCTGTCACCACTCTTGGAAATTCTAAGAAACAATGGAAAATTTACCCAGAGGAAAAAGATTTTCACCAGATGAAAATTCTTGTGTTTCCTCTTTCTTTTAACAGGAGATGGTATTTTAGCTTTCTACTGTTAAGATTACTGGCTGCAGTTACATCTATAAGGGTCATCTCCCATGACTGGAAGAGTCTCTTTGTGGTCTAGGCATCAGTTTTGATGTGCAGGCTCCTTGAAAAATGCATTCAAAATTCAGCAAAGGCAAGCCAGCCCTGCATCTCTTACAGAAAGAGTGCAGATAAACGGTTCTTGCACTTTACTTTCAGGAGGTGCATGAGGCTCTGAAAGCTTCAATCCCATCTGCTTGTTTACCTCAATTCAGATTTTTAGGTATGTTTTAGATGAAATTCCTGTATTTCATAAGACCTTCCCGTATCTTCTGCTGCCCTTGGCCAGTATACTTTCTTCCATGAGCTATTGTGCAGTAAGGTACTGGATTGCTTCCTCGTGTATCTGCTTTTCTGTTTAATTTGTGTGCATTTTTGAGTGAAAAACAGCATTTAGGTATAAATTATGATTTGTTATTAACGATGAAGCTAAGCAAAAGAATGGATTGACAGCATTTATATAAAGTTGCTGTCAAGCAGCCCTGGCAGGAGCATGAAACATAGTGAGTAAGGAAGTGAAAGCTGTTCCTGGAAAATCTGCAGAGTTCCAGTTGAATCAAAACAGCCATGGCGTGCAAGTCAATCTCGCAGGAGCAGAGAACAGTGGTGAAAATCAAAGCAGATTGTAATGGCATAAATCATTCTGAAGAAATGCATAGGTACTTCTTCACTGTTTAAATACTACTGAAGATCTACACAGGATGAAACTCGCTTTTAAAGTCAATTGTAAATGATTGTGGAAAGGAATCTGCCAGTCTGATTCAGAATACAAAGGCAGACTGACAATATGGTTTATTCCACTTCAGCATATATGAGCATGCACTCTGGGTAAACTTGCTGGAAGAAACATCCCAAGTAAAACCAATGAGATTGTAAAAGGTGGCTTAAACAGTTGTTTATCTACAGAACAAAATGGCAAGAAAAGAGGAATAACTTTCATAAAGATATAGTTCATGTTACATTCACATCTAGTATCAGCCCCCCACTTGCATTAAAAATAGCAGAGCTGTTATATGGAAATAGTGTATCTTCAGAAGGCAGTCGAATTTTGACTTGTGATTAAAATACAGAATCAAATGTTTTCAATAAATAGTTAAGGAGCAAATAAATCTACTCTGGTTTCAGTGGAAAGCTTCCACTATCTAGATTTTTTCCCCCCAGAATGATTACATGGAAATCAAAGTGAAAAGACCAGTAGACAAAATGGAACTATATAGACAAACGTGGTCATACTGAGACTAAAATAAGCTGAAATTGTTGCTTCCAGGAATAATTCTTAGGCTGAGCTGGCAGTATGAATGTGTTCTTGACTTTAATTCAGCCAGTGCTCAAAGTTGCAAGTCCACAACAAAGGAAGGGGGAAGAGCTACTAAACTCTTCTTGGGAGCTAACTTGGGCATAGATCAGGTATGCTGATGCAAGCCCAGAGTAGCTTCACTAAAATTGCAAGTATAAACTTAAGCTAGGAATTGTTCCAATTAAACACAATATATTCTATTTCTGACACATATTTCCTTATCCATTAAGACTGAGACACTAGTGAAGGCATGAATGCCAAAGAGAACCAGGTACTGGAAAAGAAAATTATGTTCTAATTAGGCTGAAATAAAATATTCTAAATACATTAACGTGTTATTTTTCCCAAAGATAATTTTGTCTTGCTGAATTTTCCTGTCCTTTAAAAACAACCAGTTAGAGGCTCTGGTTTGACTTTTCTCCCACTGTTTTTTAAAGAACTGTAAAGTGCTGATTGTATTTACCAACTTTATAATCCGATTTTAAACTCATTCAGGGTAACTTTAGTAAAGCTCCTCTGACTATATACTGTAAACAATATTCCTGGATGAGAAAATATCTGTATATTTTGAAACTACTACCATAATCTTCCAAGCTACAAGAATTAAATATATATAACCACAGTTCAATTTAGAAATGCAAATCATGTCCATGAATGGAATGTATTTTTACAGCAGTCCACAAGGAGATTTATGTGGAAGCTGCCTTTGCCACAGATACCCAGAGCTCATATTACCAGAAATATATGCAAGATTTTCTAAACTCTGGTCTTGATTATTATACTTTCACAATGTTTTAAATCAGATTAGGCTGGGATCTCTTCTCAAGCAGGAAGCCAAACAGATAAGAGAAAGAAACACAAAGGCACACATTGCTGTGTTTAAATAGTCTTGAAATGGTTGTTTATCTCCCACAGTACTGTACCTGCCCAAGTACTACCAAGCATCAAGCTTTTACTCCCTCTTGGAGAATCTCAACGCTGAATTTTGGCCTCTAAAAATAATAACCGTTCTTTCAGTAGCACATAACAAGAGATCTGAAGAGTTCTGATACCTATTCTTGTCACTTGAGGTATCCAAATACAACCAACCACAACAGCCTCTCTTCCTGCAAAAACAGTGAAGTTCTCTCTGGGCTGCTTTTAACCCTGAAGTTTCCTAAATGCATAAATCTATTGTCCTGCTGGGTATTCACACGATCCTCAGTCCATAAGCATCAGCAAGCTTTTCAAACTAGCTATTCCTTCATTTGTCTCAGATGGCAGGACAGATCTGGTAGGCAATCTCAAAACCTGTTTGTTGAATCATGAAATGAAACTCCACAAGGGAAAAATGACAGTGGCTTTCTCTAAGAACTAGACTATGACCTCTAAAAACTTGTCTAGGGTCTGGGTGTTTTAAGTTCAACTCTCTTCTCAGTTTTGGAAAACTTCCTCTGTAGATTTTGCTACAAGTTTTCTTGTTGCTTCTATGTTTCTGAACTGGCCCTTCTAGTAAGGCACTAAGGAGTATAATAGTCTTATAATACTGAATGTGACTTTATAAGATATTTTAATCAGTAAGCTGCTTGGTATTTGTTCTGGATTTTTTTTTTTTAATTAATCCATTATAACTGTATATTAAGGATGCATCGCAGTATGCTTAAACTAATGAAGATAGCTATGACTTGTTAACTATTATCTAAGTATTCCAAATTCTGAAGCTGCAATTTGGTATGTTACTCGACATCTCTGTCAGTGAAAATTACACAGCTGAGTTGCATCTACCATTGATATAGTATTTCCAAGTCCAGACTGAAAGCAATGCGGAATCTTACATGGATTGAGTTATTAACTTGCATTTATTTATTTCATTTGTTTCAGACTTCACATTTAGTGTTTACTACAGGTGAATAAGAAGAATAAGATGCTTTAGGCTCTGTTCTTATAATTATCAGTAATCCGATGGCTGCTATCAATAATGTCTATCACTTCTGACATCAGTCTGTAGTTGCATAACAAGGTATCCTACGTATCCATTACCACTATAAACAGCAATTTTTCTTCCCAGTTTTCTTAGCTTTGGTCATTCGGTAGTTAAGTATGCTGAATTTTGTTTCAGTCACAAATATTTATGAGGCATAGTGAGCTCAAATATGTTTTGCTGGAGCTCTTTCCTTTAGGAATTGATATGTCATTAAAACATCACTCTTCTGCATCAGTCTGAACACTGCCAGAATTTCAGAACTTCCTGACCTTTTTTTTCTAAGTCTGTGGTGCTCTGCAGAATAGTTTCTTTTAAAAGCCTTTTCAGCAATTTATAGCTTGTTTTAGCCTGAACACAACCGCCTGCCTAGATGGCATCTTTTTCAGGAGGCTAGTGTCCAATGTACTAATGATGGTACAATTGTATTGCATTTTCTTGTGATTAAAATGTCTGATTTCTAACAACTCTTTTTGCATCGCAGGGGGGTGATCACCAGTGCAGGAGGAGCTGTAAGGGTACAGACTCTCCCAGGACAGGAAAACTACCCTGCTGTAAACGCCAATGGGATCCAGTCTCAGGTGCTCACTAGATGGGCTTCGTCTTTCTCAGTGACTCGTAGGTGGATCACACTTATTGTTTTGCAAACTATCTTTGAAATATTAACAGAAGTCTAGGAAACTGCTTCAGTGCTCTTCTATGTATAACCAAATGTGATTGCTATCTGAAGTGTAGTAACAAAAGTTTTCACTTCTAACTCATTATTTTATCTTCATTTTTCCACAATTTCCTTAAAATACTATTCCAGCTAGACTAGCTAGTCTGTAGCAGAAGCTGATACATAAAAATGGATCACAGTTACTTACAATATAATGACGTGATAACAGGCAGTTGGCAGTGCAGTTCCATGACAATTTAAGCTGATCTAAGTCAGTGCTTTGATCCTGCTATTGCAGTCCTGTCCTCCTACCGCTTCCAGCCGTATAATTTTATCCCTTCTCTCCCCCTGCCTGCCTTTATGCAGGCAGTAGCACTTGTCAGGCCCTTCAAAGAGCTTATGCAGCGTTCCCTGCAAACAGAACACTGACCGTCCAAAAATAGGAACGTCAGCTTAGATGTGATGTGGTCATTAAGCTACAGCGTGACATAGTGGTTTTTTCAGAAGTTTTTGTCCGCATAGTTGAGATACTGTGCCTGACTGCAAACCAGTTATCACGCCCTGCCACTTGGTGAGGTTAAACCACCCTCATAAAAATGTATAAAGAAGCCTACTGGTTATATAAGCCATTGTGGTTTCAAAAATATTGAAGTGTATGTGTTTTCTGGTATGTTCTTTCAAAGTTTGGGAAACAAATTTCTCTAATGCGTTTTTATTGTTTACATAGCTAAAATTCAGCCTACTATCTCTAAGATATTAGTAATCCTTGTATAGTGTCCACTGCAAATTAATAGCTAAGAACTTGGAATTACAGGTGCTTTTGATGAGGTTGTAAGTGAAATCCACTTCTCCAGATCAAGTCCTGAACGTATCTGCTAGAAATAACATCTGCTACAGTTCAAAAACTCTTATCAATTAGATATGCTGTAATTATTCATCAGCTGCTATTGTTTCAAATGCAGAAGTTCAAAGGAGAAGTTTATTGCTTGTAAAACAAGGAGTGCAATACTGGATTGCACCAAAGATCTGTCTAGGCCCGTGTCCTACTCGAAGGGTAGCTAATGGCAGATGATGAAGAATGGTTATTGGAAATATAGCACTCTTCAAGCACTTGTAATTTCATCTAAACACACTGAAATACAGTAAATTTATTCTTCCAATATTTTAACAGGTACCAAGAACACAGCGCTTGAAGCTGTTGGGCAATCAGTATCAACGGCACGTCCTTCTACAGGTACGAGATCTCTGCAACAAGGGAAGCCTCCTGTGATAAGATGTGCTACAGTGCATGAATCCCTGACTAAAATGCAGTGTTTCATAGGATTTGTTTATTTTTAAAGAAGAAAATATATACCATATCTGTTTTTGCAGTATATCTTTCATCAGCAAAAATGGAATCATTTGTAATTGAGGAGATTGATTCTGACTTCAGTAGCATTCATGTAAATTAAGAAAAACTTGAACGAATTTAGAAAAGTAATACAAATAACAGAAAGGAGGGA